ACAGCCACCCCCCCGGCCTTGGCACCCTGAGTCTGCACACCACCTTCGTGGGGACCCCTGTGGGCACCGAGAGAGGACCCAGCCCTCCACAGTACACTGTGGTATTGAAGCGGGGACCTGCCCTGCCCCCCTGCCTGGGCAGCCCAGCCTGGGGCCTGAGCACTCCTTACCTGAGCCCCTGCTCAGGGCTGTGATTTTGTGTGGAGATTCTCCCTGCTCCTCTCCTGTGCTCCCGGTATCCAGCCTGTCATCTGTGCTGCCCCCCCCCCCCCCCCCCCCCCCCTGCTGCCAGCCCCGCCTCAGCTGGGCCCAAGGCCACTGAGGCCCCATGGCGCTCCGTCCCAGAGGCCCTACAGTCAGCACCACTCATTTTAACATTGGCTTCATCTTTGGCCTGGAGGCAGGCTGACGAAGAAGAGGGGAAAAGGCCACATTTACTCAGTTTCCCCAGGCCAGTGTCCCTGGGTGTGGCACTAAGGATTCCAGAAAGTTCTTCCAAGTCGTTAAGCACTTCCCTGAACCAGGGGCTTCTGCACAGCGATCAGCTGGGTAGCTCTGACTGGTTAGATCTCTCATCCTTCCCAGACCTGCTCACCCCAGGAGCCTGTGCCAGGGGGCCACCCACGCCCCACACGTCTCCCTGTCCTGTTGTTACTGCGCTTCGTAAAGGCTCCTTAGCAGTTAGATAACTTGCCTCTTGAAGGGCCTTTCCAGCCCAGGACTTCCTCCCTGGCTTCCTTGGACACGATTGCTTTCTCATGATGCGGCCCCAGGAGATGGTTTCCCCTGAGGCCTTTCCACATGCTGCCACTGGGGGCGGGAGCAATGGACGAGGCCTGTGGAGAAGCTGCTGGTCTCAGGAGGGGGTTGCACAAAGTACTTGCCTTCTGTTGATGACTTGCCCTCGGTTACTTGTAATGTGCGTGCGTGTATGTCATTTACTGAAACGGTTTTCATTCCAGTCTCTTCCTCCTTTTTCCTGCCTGATTTAGGTTTCTTGAAATCCAGAAGCCCGCGCTCTGTAAGATGCTTCGCGTCCTGGCCTTTGCTTATCCCTACACCTGGGACTCCCTCCCCATCTTCTACAGGGTAAGGGCCCAGCTCCGTCTTTTCTCTGCCTGTTAGCAACACCAGGGAATCTGTTGTTTCCTGAGGTCCTGGGGGTCAGAGCACCAGGCCGGTCACTGCAAGACACGTGGGAGTTGAGACCTTCCTTAAGAGCAGGTGCAGAGCCGTGAGGAGATGGCAGGAACATAGACGCCGTGACAAACCACAGGCGATGCATCAATGGCCGGCACTGACTGGGGGCTCAGAAGTAATCATGGAAGGCTGGGTAGGGGAGGCAGCCTGGGGTTTAGTGGAGGGACCGGGAGAGTGGGCTCTGGAGGCAGATCTCTACTACGTACTCGCTGTAAGACTTTGGCAAGTTATGTACTGTCTCTGTGCCTTGATTACCCTCTTCTGTAAAATGGGTATGGTAGTAACACCTCGGTCCATCCGCTGTGGGGGAGATTACAGGCGAGAACATATAAAATGCTAGCTGGTGACAAGTGTCCAGTAAACGCATTGTTATGTATTATCATCAGTTAACATACGGGGAGCAAAGGAAGAAGTATGAATGAGGGTCTTAAGGATAAATGGGGATTAGGCAGAGAACACGAAGGAAGAGGGGTTGTAGGAGGGACACAAGAAGGCGGCGAGCCCGGGCACTCTGAAATCAGGCAGACCTGAGTTCAAATCCCAGTCCCGCTGCTCACTGGCTGTGTGACCTTAGGCAATGCACATAACCTCTCTGAGCTTCAGTTTCCTCATCCATTAAGGAGGCTAACACCCCGTCTTGCACAGGAGGGTGGAGAGGGTTCATCTGATCCGCAGATCTGAAGGGCTCAGCCGTGCCTGGCACATGGCCTGCACCCGGTGACTGGAGTTCCCCTCCCAGGGGCAGCCTGAGGCTTGATGCATGAGGCAGGGACGGAAGGGGAGGGTCAGAGCTGGCTCCACCTGTGTGGGCCCGGGGAAGACCCCCCTGACTCCTTCCTGGAGGACAGAGAACACACACATAGGAAACCAGAGCAGAGAGAACAAGCGGGTCCCACGCCCCACCCAATCGCATAGCTTGAGGTCCGTGTTATTAGGGACACTGTGCGCTCCTGGCGCTCGGCTGCGGCCGACGGTGGGCAATGGGGAGGGGAGGCCTCATCCTGAATGATGATGTTGATGAGCACGCAGCTTCAGCAATCAGCCTGCCTGGATCCAGATCCTGACTTCACCGTTCCTTAGTGGTTCGCGTCACCCTCTGGCCGGGCTTCCTCATCTGCAAGATGGGAAGCTAGAGTCTGCCTCATGGTAATTGTTGAGGCGAGGCGCTGATGAAATCCCGAGAGAGAGGGGCTGGCCCAGTGCCCCAGGTTGGTGACCGCCGCTGTCGCTGTTCATAATGATAACACAACAACTAGGCTTAGCTCTCAGACAGCATCACGGCTGTAATTAGTACATTTTGATGACTCAGAAGGCCTTCCAGGGATTTCTGGGCCTTAAAGCCTTAACTGGGAACATGAAACCAGGCGGTGTGCTGGTAAGAAGTGAGTTCAAGGGTGAATGGACCACTTTTTACTGTACTTACATTTTACCCCCAGACAGTAGAGTAGCAATAGGTCTAATAGGATTTTTCGTTTCCTTCACTCCTTTTCTTTTCTTTTGTACCTAAAGAACCCGAAAGGCTTTATGAGCATTTGGAGGATTTAAAATAGTTGCCCGGGGTCTCAGATGATCACCGTCGGGATGGGAATTCTGCTCACACAGTCCCTGAGTTCCTTTCCAAGCCACAGACCTGAGGAGGTGAGGGCCTGGGCCTCTGACGACCACACGTGTGCGCAGAGACGTCCTCAGGCGATGAGAAGGGAGAGGGCCTCCCCTCAAGACCTGATGTTTCTCTAACTGCCTGCAGCTGTTCCTGCTCCCCGGGGAGAGTGCGCAGAATGAAGCCGTCCTGAACCACCAGAAGCACATGGCCATGACCCTCCTGGCCTCTTTCTTCTACTCTGCACACCTGCCAGAGCGCCTGGCACCTGGACGCTTCGACTACATTGGTGAGTGGGGGGGGGGGAGCCCTGTTGCCTGTTGCCCGGTGTCCTCCAACCCAGAGAGAGCCCCCGCCCCTGACACCAGTGTGTGCAGTGTGAAGGGGAAGCAGGGGCAGAGAGAGAAGGGATTCCTCAGGAGCTTGTCTAGGAGCAGGCCAAGGAGGGTGGAACTGGAGGCCAGGAGGTATGCAGCCGGCAGATGGCAGGGGATGGTGAGGGAGGATGGAGAGCAGGTGGATCTAGGAGTCTAGGGCATTCCTCTGGGTTGTGGGGCCCGGGGCGTGCCATTATTACCCGGAACATGAAATCCCATTATTAAACAGCCACTGAGGGCAGCCCAGGAGACGAACAGGACAGACAGAGTGCAGCTGGCTCTGAGGCGACTAGAAGGTGGGGCAGGGTGAGAGCGTCTGTCATGTTCAGGTGGGTGCGTGGGGCCAGGAATCTTGGTAGAACAGTGGTTCTCAGGTCTGGCCCCAGACCATCAGTTTCAGCGTCCTCTGGGAACGTGTGGGTTCTCAGGCCCCACCCCAGAAATCCCACAGCAGAAGCTTGAGGCCGGGGCCCCCGCACTCACTCCGGCTGTGTGACTGACTCTCCAGGGGAACCTGAGCTCACTACGGTGAGAGAGGTGATGTGGTGGGGGAGGGGCCGTCCAAGCCACGGGACCTCCACCTGCTGGGAGAGTTCCTTCCCTCCCTGTCTAGGGAAGCGGGGTGGGCACTGGCTGGAGGAGGCACCCTTGGGCCTCTTCGGGTGAGGCTGATGAGTCCCGGGGATGAGCGTTCCTTAGATACGCTATCGTGGGCATCCTAGGGTCAGTTCCTGTCCTTAAATGGTGGGCAGGGACCTTGGTGCTCCCCAAGGCCATTTTGCCCGGTGATTTTCCATCTCCTCCCACCTGAGACGTGGCCAGATTTGCTTTGTGGACTCTGATAAGAGCTTCCTCCCCTTCACTTAGGGATCGTAAAGACCAAAAGGCTTGGAGGGCAGGTTCCCCAAAAAAGGAGGGAGACAAGAGGGCCTGGGAACTGGAGCCTGCCTGCAGGAGCCACATCCACCCCCAGCCTCGCCTCGATGAAGCAGAGGTGGTTGTATATGAAGTCTGGGGGCTGCAGGAAAAGTAGCCCTGGGCCTTGTTTTGCCAACTCCCTGGTTTCTTAATGATGTTTCATTCAATCACCTTAGTCTCATCCTCTTGGGCCTCGGGGTGCAGAGCAAAAAGACAACCCTCTAATGGGACATTTGCCAGACTGTTGTTAATGACAGATCATCAACAAGGGGTTTGGAAAATTCTCTGTTCTGCATTAATGGAGCCTGCCAGACGTGGGCCTCCCTCTGCAGTGCGGGCCAAAGTGCTTAGCGGTGAGGCGCTGGCCCCTAGGAAGCTCTTCCACATTCCTGTCGGGCCGGAGGGCTGACACCACTTTTCAGTTACATCCTGTGTCCATGGTGTTTTCTGTCTTTTTATCTCCTGCTCTGATGCAGACAGGTTTGAGCCTTGGTGAGCTCAGCTAGTCACCTCTCTCTTCTTGGAGATGTGTCCTTGGAGAGCAGGGCTCTCTGCTGGATGAGAAGCCACTCTGCTGCACTCCAAATGGATTTGGCAATCCTACACAGCCCCTGAGTATAGAGCCTGAGCCAGGCAGGGGCGGCTCGTCCGGGCACACCTTCTTGCCCAGGGGACACAGCCTGGGGGGCCGGCAGGAGCTGTGGTGAGGAGCTCGGGCCACCCACCTGAGAGGGCTCTCGCTCCCACACTCCCATTCCCGACTCTGCTTCTGCTCCGAAACGCAGGTGCCCAGGCTGCCCCCTTCCTGGGACACAATTATTGAATACTTACTCTGGCATAAGTCCTGGGGGTATAACCTCTCTCTCTCTCTTTTTACTGAAAGAATCCTTTTTTTTTTTTTTTTAAGTAGAATCTTTTTTATTCAGAAAAACAAAAACAAAAACAAACCCCCCACCCAAAAAGTTTTCCAACCACACACAGGAGGGGTTTGGGTAGGGGGAGGTGTCTGTCCATCCAGCCCCAGCCCCCAGCCCATGTGGTTTTGGCAGCAATAAGGGGTGTGGGGTAATGGCCCCCAAAATAAAAATGGTGTATGTGTGTGTCTGGGAAGGAGAGGGGTGCAAAAGCCGTGGGGAGTGGTGGTGGGAAGGGACGGACGAGGTCAGTACTGGGAACGCCGCAGGTGGGAGGCCATTTCATAGCATTTCTTGTTGATCATATCACCGTGGACACCTTCTTCGCCCATGAGCAGGACTAGCGTCTTGGCAGTCATGGTGACAGTGATGTTGAAAGTGGGGGCTCCCCCGGTGCTCTTGGTACGAAGATCCATGGTAAATTCCCCACCCTGCGGCAGTGAGTCCCGGATAACAGAACATTTCTGGCCCCCAAGTGTCAGCCCGTTCACGAAAAAACTTGACCGGTCTTTGCCAACCAGGACACCGACCTCAGCTGGCGTGATGTTGACAAAGGTTTTCCCGGGGACGGCGGCCCAGACGGAGGGCGAGTCCTTATAGCCCACGATGGCCGCGTCCTGACAGGTCCCGTCCGCCATGAGGTTGTGGATGTAGGCGTCCCACCGGGCCATGGCGCTGCTGCTGGGGCCGCGGGCTGGGCTCGGGCGCCGCGGGCTGGCGGGCGGGGGGAGGCGGAGAGCTCGGGGCACGCGCTGCCGCCCGGACCGCGGCTCTGCTAGCTGTGCAGCAGCCCTCGCACCGCCCGAAAAGAATCCTTTTTGAACTCTTGTGTTGTATTCGGGTGCTAGGACTGCCCTAACAAAGAATCACAGACGGGGGGGGGGGGTGGCTCACGCAACAGAAATGCATCTTCTTAGGATTTTGGAGGCCGGGAGGCTGAGCCCAAGGTGGGGGCCGGGTTGGGCGCTCCCGAGGCCTCTCTCCCTGGCTTGCGGACCACCCGCTTCTCTGTCTCCCCTCACGTGGTCTTTCCTCTGTGTACCTGCCTGCCCAGGCCCTTACCTCCTCTTCTTAGAGGGACACCAGTCCCCAGAGGTCCAATCTAGTGACCTCATTTTCATGTAATTGTCTTTTTAAGAGATCCTATCTCCAAATATGGTCACATTCTGAGGTCTGGGGGGTTGGGACCTCGACCTTCGGAACTGGGGAGAGGGAGACACAAGTCAGACCGTGACACGCGCTGTCCGTGCTGTCTTCTCATCTTCTGGTCTCTGAGGTCTGTCCCACCCACAGTCCTCAGCCCCGGGCAATGGGCTCCTTTTCTCACCACTACCAACTCAGCCCACCGCTGCCCCCTCTGCGGGCGCCTCCCCTCTGCACACTCACAGCTGGCCGGCCAGGGTCCGGCAGGTCATGGGGACGAAGAGCTCCCGGTCGTGTCTGGGATTGACCGGCAGGTGGGAGAGGACCACCTCAAAAGCGGCCAACAGAAAGTCTGGAGGGCTTCTCCGTTGGCACTGAAGTCAGAATCGGAGCCGACGAGTGCTGGCCCTGAAGAGGCGACCTCTGGCAGAACGCGATGCCAGACCTCTTCCCGTGAAACACAGGACTGGTGGATAAGGTGTTCGAAACATGGACTTGGTTTGCTCGGATGGCCTTTTGATTTTTCCCTCACACCGCATTTTAAAAAATAAACGTACTGAGGCATACTTTACATACCAAACAATTCCCTAATTTCAAGTATACAATTCAGCGATACTTTTAGCGGGCTTACGAGTTGTACGACCATCCCCATAAATGAGTTTTGGAACATTATCGTCACCCCAGTAAGATCCCTCATGCCCATGTACTGTTAGTCCCAATTCGGACCCCCTGTCTGAAGCAACCACTAATCTACCTCATGTCTGTGGATTGGCCTTTTCTGGATGTGTGACGTAGACAGAATCTGTCAGTACGTGGTCTCTGGTGCCTGGCTTCTCTCACCCAGCATAACGTGTCTGGCCTGCAGGTCACAGTATAGTATCAACAATCTGTTCCTTTTTTATTGCTGATCTTGGTGGCCTTTTCTGTGTTTGCCGTAGGTCACAGTCACCAGCTGTTCCATGTGTGTGTGATACTGGCCACTCACATGCAGATGGAAGCCATACTTCTGGACAAGGCTCTGAGGAAGGAATGGCTCCTGGCCCACTCCAGGCCCCTGTCTTTCCCTCAGATAACTGGAGCCATCCTTCTGTGCCTCATCTTCAGCCTCAGCAACATAATTTATTTCTCAGCTGCTCTGTATCGGATTCCTGAGCCAGAATTACATAAAAAAGAAACGTGATTCAGACCATGTGCTTCTCGTGCCAGATGTCAACCTTAAGCTACAACATCCTAACCACCATAATCCAGGGGCAGGGTGCCTGTTTCCAAAGGTCGAAAGTATTCGCAATGGCTGATGTCTTAGCATTTTTGAGTGGGTTCATGTCAATAAGATATTGAACTGGGGAAGTTTCTCTAGAGGTGCACTGATGCTATATTATGATTTTAAAAGGGGAAGATGGGTTCAAGTAAGTCCTTGTTTGGGCAGATTCTTAACATTTCATTAAGTTTTAAATTGATTTAAAATGGGTTTTTCAATTCTATTTAAACAGTTGGATTAAGCATACCACCCTTGTATTTAGTAGCTTGACTATTAAACACTTGAATGAAGCTTAACCACCCTTGTAGTATTACCCTTTGCAAATGGAACTTGCTTCATTTGATGAGTTCCACATAGCACTGCATCTGCTAAGAGCTCCGCAGTGGGAGGGACGAGCCAGAAAGATCAGTGTAAGGAGCCTGAATAAGAGGAAGCTGGGTCTGTGGGAGCTCTGGGGACAGGGCAAGCACTCCAGAATGGAGAGACCTGGTTTGGGGAAGGGTCTTCTTTCCCCACCTAGTGAAGGGAATGAATAGAAAGAGTCCTCTTTCCCACAAGTCTGTTCTGCCTTAAAGTGCCAATTCCCATGTCATGTGGATTTGGATCTTCTTAGAAGTCCACATGGCTGGGTGTCCACGTTGTGTTTTTCTCTGTTTTCTCATTGCCAGTTTGATGCTGCACAGTATCGTGTAGGACGGGTCCATTGGGTTATGGGTGGGGGCTGGCTGACTTAAGCCCAGTTGGCTGTGTTCATCTGTCACCTTTTAAACGAGTGGCAGCGCGATATTTGGGGATGTTATACATTTGATGTCGCTTCAGCATTTTAAATGCTGCAGATGTTAGTGTCATGTGCAGAGGATGCCAACACCTTGCTAAAGGGTTGGTCAACTGTAGTGATTCTCGAGCTTTACCGTGAATCAGAAACGCTTGGTGGGTTTGTGACAAATGCAGATTTCCTGGCAAAGTCAGGAGATTCTGCATTTGTACATGGTTTAAAATGTAGGTCCTTTAGAGGAGATTTGCCTTAAATCTGAGCAAGTCCCCAGGTGATTCTAATGCAGAAGGGCCCCAGGCCAAACTTGAAGAGATGCTTTCCTCGCGAATTCCAGAAGGCACTGGGCCTATCAGCTTTGCTGGGATTGACCTAATTTTCAGCGACTTCCCACCTAAGGGTGTTTCCCCTGCTTTCTACTCTGCATGAGCCTGAGCATTTTCTCATCTTTTGCATCGGGAGTTAAAGTTTAGTATTTCATGGTGTTTTCAGAGAGTATGGAAATGCTGATGCTGAACGGTTTTTAACAGAGGCCCATCAACCCCTGATCTGCACTTGCTAATGACTTAAGGGGCTGTCCATCACAAAGCAGGATCTTCTTTGCTGACTCAGGAACACCCCCATATCTTAGAATACTGCCTCTATGGTTAACTGGCCCAGAAACCCAAATGGCCTTGTGAATAGCTCGTCATCTAATCCTCTAAGGACAAGTAAAAATTTATATTGGATGAGAGTGGTCAAGAAATATGATTTCATTAGTTTTATTATCTGTTTACTTCCTCTGGGGAAGGTAGACTGATAAAATTATATGGGCTGGTAAATTTTTGATACATTAGTTGCCGTTGCATGACAAAATTTCGTTTTTGGCAATGATCTGACACTGTTAGTTAGTGGAATTTTACTCCAGCAGGGTCTGTGGGCTTCCGTTTCATCTTGCTGTAACTGCAGTTTTATGCTGAGAAGTACAGAGTTTAAATACCCTATTCTAGTAATGCCAAAGACATGAAGCTTTTTTAATATCTCTTATTTAGAGAGAGTAAAATAATGTTCTTTGTTTAGCTCAGAAATAGTTGAAAGGTAATAGGTGACTCATCTGAAGGACCTTTAGATTATTTAATTTTTGGTTATGTGGCTTTTTCGTCATACTGCAAAAAGAAATGTTAAATGGAAAAGAAATGTTAAATCCACAAAATAGGAGCAGGGTTTCATAATGTTTTTAGATGTTTGGTAAACTTGGTCCCATGGTATACTTTTGGACAGTGTTACAAGTTAAAATTTGAGAACAGTTCCAATATACTGATTTGGAAACTTCTAGATGTGGAAAATGGGTTCACATATATTAATTACTGTTAGGTATTAAGAGTAATGGGGGTAGAGTTTTGCGTAAGCCATCCCAGAAAGTCAAAAAGGCTGGCATTGGATAAGCCGAAGACCTCACTGGGAAGCGGTCTTTTCGTGTAGCGGCTCTCAGCGTTTTTTGAGTGTCTCAATTCGCCCTGGAGATACGCCATTCTTCCATTGGTAGGGACTGCTCGCCACGCCACTGCCTCAAAAGGGATTTTATAGGGGGTGACAGACACCCGATGGGATGTCCCCGTTCTTCCTCCCCTTTCTTGAGAAACACTACTCCAAAATTTCCCAGATGCTACAGTTGGGATAAAACTTGAATGTGTTTGAGTGAGGCCATGTGGTCAACTTCACCTTCCTCCGCTCATCTTAAGAGTTTCACTTTCCATTGCACAGTTCTGGAGAGAAAAGGAATTTGTCACTGTGGATTAGAATGAGAAGTGGGAGGTTTTAGAAATCATTCGAGTACAAAGTGGTCTAAATATTTGGTCTGCTGTAGTCTTTCTCAAAGTGCTTGTTGTGGAACCCAGCTCATGTGCGAAGTTCTAAGGAAGGCAAGGTGGAAGAGAACGGTGAGGTCGCATGTGTTGGAGAGACCCTTCATTTGGCTCTGTTGTGTCCCAAATTTGTTTTGGCCATGGCACTATATGAAACAGCTATTAACACTGTATGACAACACTTTATAACATATTAGTTGAATGCCAGCCTCTGATTTTCTAGTCAACAATGCATCATGGCCGAAAAGGCAAAGACCCATTTCCAAACTCAGATGTTCTTCCAACTTACGGCAATGTCTGGTTTTCTTAAATTGTGTGGGAGAAAGAAAATAAAATTTATTTATTACAATAAAGACCTATTTCCCACTTGATTTGATGTTTCACCTATCACTGCAAACGCGTTCATTCGTTGTAAGAAAAAGATTCCTATACACGTGTGCATTGCTAAATCATTCTGTGAATATTTATTTTGCGCCTGATATATATAGAATGAACACTGTTTTAGGGGCTGGGGATAGGAGAAGTGAGGAAAAGCCACCTCACTTGTGTGGAGGAAGTGTGCTGATTGTCAGTAGGAAAAGATAGATCAGTTCAGATAGTGGTGAGTACTCCAAAGGAAATAAGCCTGGAGGAGAAATGGAGGTGGGAGGGGCAGGGCAGGTGAGATTGGACGGCCACCCTGAGAAGCTGACATTGGAGGAGAGCCTTGATGGGCCAAAAAGGGCCCACCTTGCCAGCATGTTGCCGGGCAGGTGTTTTGGGTCGAGGTGGCATATAGGCAAAGGGCCCAAGACCAGGAAGTAC